CAATGCTGCTATCAGCGCATGCGAGAAAGGGGACCAATGGCGGGTCGCCCTGGAACTCCTGGACTGCATGCACAAGAAGGAAGTGAAGCCTGATGTCATCAGCTTCAGTGCAGGCATCAGCGCCTGTGAGAAAGTCGGACATTGGGAAATGGCTCTACAACTGCTGGAAGGGCTCTGCGAAGCCCAGCTTCAAGCGAACGAGTTCAGCCTGGATGCTTGTATTAGTGCCTGTGAAAAGGGCGGGGAATGGCAGCTGGCTCTACACCTTCTCTCAGGCATGCCCTAAATCCGGAACCCCTAAAGCCCTGAAGGCTAGACCCTTCATAAGCCCTGCACCGAATAAGCCCCATGAACGCCCGAAGGACTATAAACCCAATAAGCTGTATAAACCCTAAGCCCTTTCTTTCTCGCAGGCATGCCACAGGCCAGGATTGCACGCAATGAATTCTCGATGAGTGCTGGAATCAGTGCCTGTGAGAAGGCCGGTGAATGGCAACAAGCCATTGGGGTGTTGGCTGAAACTGGGATCCGGTATGCTGCGGAGGATTGTTTAAGGTTTAGGGTTGTATGGGGCTTTTGGAGTTTAGGGTGGTGTGGTGTTAAAATGTTTCCTTGTACTGGTAACAGCAATTGTGGAAGAAATGCTTACAAGTTTCCTCCAACCCCCTCACCCCTAAAACCGCGGCATGGCTGCTTCAGAAAAGGAAATCCCTCTTGCAACGGTGGCCTTCACTGAGATCAGCTTCAACGCTTCTATCAGCGCCTGTGAGAAGGGGGCCCAATGGGAGTGGGCCATTCAGGCCTTGTCAAAGACGAGTTTTAGGGTTTAGGGGTACAGGGTGTAGGGTTTAGGAGCTTTAGCTTGGGTTTTTCGGATCTGAGTGGGGTTTTCAGGGTCTGCCTAAAGCTTGTTGTGTAAATTCGCCAGTTACAGCCCAAATCCAGATCCCTGGATCTACAAAGCACTGAAATCCAAAGTCACAAACCTTAAGGTATATAGGGTTTAGGGGTTTAGGGGCTTGAATTGAAACCAAAAGCCTACACCTCCAGCCCTAAATCCAATAATACCTAAAGCCCTTCAGGCATTATCCAAGATGCCTGCGGCCCAGCTTCTTCCCGATGATATCAGCTACAGTGTCCTGGCGCCCGTTTTTCAGGGTTTAGGGTTTAGGCCTCGGGGTTTGCGAGTTTCTAGAATTGTGGTTTGGGGGTTCGTGAAGCTTGTTGGTCCTACAAGGGCCTTACAGCTGCATCCGGGCCTTAATGGGGAGTTTATGTGGTCTACGTGGGTTTTATAGAGTGTTATGAGTCATAATTTAATGCATGCATACTAGGATTTGCTTGCACTCCCGTTTCCTATGGTTTCCTCATTTTCTGAAGTTCGCTCCTGGGGCGCAATGTCGTTCCTGGCTCTGAAACTTTAAACTTACACTAGTAGGAACTGATCATCAAGGAGGGTGCATGGGTCTTACTTATACGGTTTTTTGAACTTTCCGGATCTCTATTGACAAGCCATGTTTTCGTGCTGCGGCCCTTGCACGCAGCCGCTTTCGAATCCGTAGCGCAACACTTGGATTCACAGTCTTTGAGAGACTTTGTCAACCCAGATGCCAAGCTTCAGCCCCGAATTCTACTGCACGATGTGCTGAAACTCCACACCCGAACCCGCACCCTCGTCAGAGTAGGAGCTCTGGTACTGCAGATGTTTCAGATTTTATGTGATGTGCAGTCTATCCCTATTTTGTCGGATCCGTGGCGTGAGGTGCGGGCATCAGCGCCTGTGGCAGGAGCATCATCGAGGGGGCTATCTAGAGCATTGAGGTTCCCAGAAGGTTCCGGCATTTTCAGGCAAATATACAGGGCCATATACAGGCCTGCATAATCAGTAATTCAGACACCGTAACTAGAACAGGTTTTGCAGGTTTCTGACTCAAATGTACATGACTCCAAGGACCTTATAGTCAAGGGCCCTAGACCGTCTAGACCCCTTGAGGACCCAATAATCAGGTCCCTGAAAGCATAGGGGTAGTTATATCACTACGAACTACCTATTTAGAATAGTATCGGCATACATGTCGGACTCGTCCCTGCGCGCCAAAGAAGAGCCCAGGGTCCGGAGACCCTTGCAGATGAATCCTCCGGAGCCCTTGGAACCACACCCTATACTTAATAAACCCCTATCGAATCCCGATAGAAAGCATGCAACACAGGCCCTTTAGGGTTTAGGGTTCCCGACTATGTAAGAATGCTGTAGCAGGATCCCAACAATGCACCAAGCCGATGCCTCCACGTCTTCACATGCTTAGGTTCGCGATGTCTGGAGGGTCCCTCAGCAATAGATCGGGTGAGGGGACGATGTATATGTAGCCGAAAAACCTGCCTTTTAACTGTCCTTACTATCGTTTCTATAGTTCCTATATATAAATTCTTGAATTAGGTGGGACTTTTGGGCCACAGGTAGATGCAAGAGTAGTCCGGATCCCTTGTACTTCCGCGCATGAGCAAAGAGCCTGGAGCCTTGCAATTGTTAAGTAGGCAGTGTGAAACCCCATATTCCCTAAAGCCTGATACCTCTAACTTTCGGGTTTAGGGTCGAGGGTTTAGGGCTTAGGGCTGTGTATGAATCCCCAAACCGAAAGGCTATTCAGCCGGAAGACGGAGGCTAATTCCTGCTGGTACATCCTAAAGTCACTGTGCCCTAAATCCTTCAGCCCGAAACCAGCATAGTCCTAGACCCCGGCTCCTAAACCCCAACTCCACAAGCACCACCCCTAAACCCTAAACGCTGAACCTCCCAACTCCTACCTCCAAAAACACCAAGCCCTAAACCGTAAACTAAACCCTAAACCCCAACACCCCTAAACCCTAAACCCTACATACCCCAAACCCTAAACCCTCAAGTTCCGACGCCCTGGGCTCTGGCCTGAAAAGGAGGCTGTAGTACAGCTTCGGGGCCGAAAGCAATCAAAAGGAAGCCAGAACGCGTTCTCATTTAGGTCCAAAGATACAACACCCTAAGTGTCCATGTACCCAAATAGATATACTTAGGCCTTAAAGTAGTCCCTATATGGGTACTTTAGGGCCAAAGTGTACTCATATGGATACATGGACCCTTAGGGACAAGGATGTCCTAAACAAATCCTACGCTTGGGCCCTGCTTGTTGGAGCAATCCTCCTCTGTAGAGTCTCGCTTCTGCCTTCTATGAATCCAGCGGCACCTAATCTCGGAAGCCGGCTCGAGGAGATGGTTTTCGACATTGGGTGGTCTCGCTCTGTATAGTCTTGCCCCTGCTGAGTGACAGACACAGCAGAGGGTATGGGTGGCAAGAGGAGGTGCCCAGCACATCGTTCCTGCTGGAAGATCCAAGCATGATGCAGTGATTCCTTGCAGAAGAGCACAGAGCCAAGTTTGAAACAACATGTCCATGGCCGGCTGCTACACCCTCTAGGCTGTCATCTGTGGTTTGGCCTATTTTCCGTTGTGGATTGTGGTTCCTTTTCTCGTGATTCTCAGGGGATCTCGGAGAAGAATGGTGTTCTGCTTAGCTTCTACTGGGAGTAGCTGAGTAGCTTGAGAGCACCTTTGTCTGAAAACCCTTGAACAAAGACTGCAAGAGAGACCCCCCAAGCCGTAAACTTCCCTAAACCATACTAAACCCGAAACACCTAAGTCCTAATGCCCAAATACCCAAAATAAGGAAGGTCCTCCTACATGGCTTGTCCCTCGGAAGCATGCAAACACTAAAGCCAGCTGATTCGAGTTTGGTTTGTTAAAAGGGCTTAGGGTTTGGAGTTTAGGGTTTAGGCCCTATACCGATAGGAATAGCACACAGAAGCCACCGAAACTCTCACTGCTAGGAATCCATGGCGGTGTCAAATCACAGTGCTTGAGAGGCTTTCTGGACAAGACGTTAAGCATGTACGTGCACCCTGACTCGTTGTGTCTGTTGGTGGCTACCTTGCTCCCTTACACCGGATGCCAACGACGACAGGGGATAACATCGGAGAGTATTTCGTTAAGGGCTTGGGGCTTACTACTTAGGGCTTAGGGTTTGGGGGTTTATAGGGTTTAGGGCTGAGGGTTTAGGGCTTAGGGCTAAGGGGTTTAGGGGTTTAGGGTTTATAGCTTTGGGTTTAGGGGTTTTGGGCGTACAACTTAGTGATTAGGGTTTGGGGATTTAGGTCTTGGGGTTTCGGGGTTTGGTGAAAAGGGTTAGGAGAGTTTAGGCTCCATGGCTGCAGTTTGGCTCAGTCGTCGCTGCATGTCAGAGGGCTAGTGAAGGGTAGCACAGTCCTCCTCGACAGAATCAGCAACCACTTGCTCTGAATCCTAAACCCCTAAACCCTAAACTCTAACATTTAGGAAAGCCTGCGCACCTCATTCGCCACAGCAACCTATAGACTCTTAAAAGGAAAATTTGTCCCAACTATATATCCCGTAAGGAACAATGCCTTGCGTCAGTCTTGCGTTTCCGCGCCACTGTAAACTCTGCACCCGAAGCCGGAGCCCTCAAATTTCAACTCCCTCCCCCCGAAGCACCAAGGACAGTCAGAGAGAACTTTATCCTTTGAAAGAACCTAGTGTACATTTTATTAGTATGTAGAGGTCTGTGGATCAGTTGTGCCCCCTTGTAGTCACGATACAATTGCATTGCTGTGCACCCTAGAACTCTGTGCTGACTACTGAGGCCCCTCTATAAACACTACCTTAAATTACTGTATTACAGAGGGCTTTCTATTCAAGGGTATTGGGCTACGAGGGGTTTAGCACAAGGGGCCGTTGAAGTCTGCATCCAAAGCGGCCTCAGGCACCAACACCGGAGCTGCAAACCCGAACAAACAACCCATTCCCCAAACCCCACGCCCCAAATATTAGACCCAACCACAACGCTGGCTTTATGTAGAAGTGCTACGGGTGATGCTTAAGGGCGGACAAGCGATCCCCATAAACACACGCTTGCGATGGGCTTCATGGTCCTTTCTGATGTCATTGCGTCATGGCCGTTGCATCAGCTTGCAAGAGGCAGGCTCAGTTAGGGTTTAGGGTTTAGGGCAATTAGGGTTGTGGGTTTGGAGTTTAGGGTTTGGAGTTTCAGGTTTAGGGGGCTTGGAGCTTATGGCTTAGGCTCTAGTCTTTGGGCTTTCGTGTTTAGGGTTTAGGGCATGGGGTTAGGTCCTGAAGTCTGCGTGTTAGTCCTAGGTAGTATGGGGGAAACCCCTTAATAAGGGGACCCTTCTCAACCCTACTTATGGCTGTCGTAAACGGGACCTTATTGAGCGGATCTATGTCCCCAAGGGTCCCCCTAATCCTAACTCTTACTTAGGATTTAAGAAGCTCAGGTGGACAGCCGGATGGTGATACTTTCTGTAGCGTTGTGTGTTGGTTTGACCTTGTCCCTGACTTTAACCCCTCCGTCTTAAGTCCTAAGCCCCTAGAAACCCAATAACCAACAAGAAAGCTAAAGCCTAAAGCCATACACCCTAAGACCCTAAACCCTAAAGCCCTAGACACCCAAACCCTAAAACCCCAAACCCTTAAAACCCGAGACACCTAAACCCTAGGCCCTAAACGCTGAACTGGGAACCCACATCCTGAAACCTTTAAGCCCTCGCAACCTGCACGGCCCTAAACCGTTATAGTTAGTACAGGGGTCTAAATAATTGCCAAGACAGTTTTGGGGCTTCCTTAGTATAACTATGTATGTATATATATATAGATAGATAGCTAACTGTGGTATATATATATATAATACATATATGTATATGTATGTGTATATGTATATATATATAAATATGTATGTATGTGTATATATATATATGTGTATGTGTG